CAAGCTCTTGCCCAATGACTGCTGGTGATAAACGTGTTTCCCCTATTAATGCATAGAGACAAAAATTGAACGTCTCTGACCGCCTGCTGACAGTTTTGGGTTGCTCTGTTTCAGCAATGTGCTTTGTGGATTAAACTGAGAAACTCTCAGCCTTATCTGTGTTGGAGTGCAACCTTGTTCACCAACTTGAACCTGTGTAACATGGCCTTTACAGCCGTCTGCTGTCTGAGCAGTACAGGTTGTTACAAAGACAAATTAGAAAGAAAGCAGCCTTGCACTGCTGTGCTCAGTGACCAGCAGTAACTTCTCACCTGCACACGGTGTTTCTCAGGTAAATGACAGTAATGATTCTCTGATCAGCAGAACTGCACGGTGAAAAGCTTTTTAACCCGCTACAGCGTAAAGATGGAAAAACAGCGAGGGAGCATTATTCCTCAGAGCTGGCTGATTTGGAGAATAGACTAATTGCTGCAGTTGTTTGAGGCCCTTCTGGTTCTGCTGAGCCATATGCAGAGCTCCTTGGATATTATAAAATAGGTCTGCAGATTGGTCTGTTTCTCTTGTGATTTCCTGCATCCAGACCTCAAGAACCCTTGTGCAGTCAGTACTCTCAGTTGTTATCTAACGCTTTGTATTGTTGTTCCCAGCTGCAGCATCCTAGTTTTGTTCCCATGTTGGACTCATTTTATTTCTAGCTTCCCGCTTGTAAAGTTAAACATTTCTATCATATCAGAAAGTGTCTGTGCTGCTTTCAAACCATCAATGTGCAGTAATCAGTCTTAAGAAAGTCTATTGGTCTGAGACCATATTCTGGTGGGAACCTGTTCAGGAGGGAAACCAACACATTCAGGGCCATCCTGGAGCTGGTTTGGACTTTTCCCCTTCTCAAGGGTCATACTTTAGATCTATTTATGCTCCACCGAGTCTGAATCAGATTGTTGAAATAGCTTGTAGTTTCAACTGATTCTGAATGAGCCTGCTAAATTTCCATCAGATGTGTCGTAGCAGAACAGCAGCTCTCAAGCAGCAGACCTGCTGGTTTTCCTCAGGTTAGAAGTCCATCCAGAGAGTTCTTGGTCTGCCACAAGGTCTCCTCCTGCTGGGATGTGACTGAATAAGCTCCAAAGATAGATTTCATGGAGGAATCGCTTCAGATGCTTGAACCACAACATAAATTAGTAGCAGCTCCACTCCAAGCTTCTTACTTTATATTTTAGGCAGAGCATGGCCGCCCTACTGAGGAAGCTCTTTCAGCTGCTTGTATCCAGGATCTCCATCCGTCATGATCCATATCTCATGATCACATATGAAGGTCAGATCACAGTAGTTCACATTTAGGCTCATTTGTGTCTGTCTCTGGTCTGTTTTGACAGACCAGAGACAGACAGACATTTTATAAAAAATAACCAAGCAGGATGGAGTTTTATTGATCGTGTCATTTGATGGGTCATAAGCAAAATATGTGTCATTTTTCTTTCTCCAATCCTGTTGCTTGAAATATAACCACTAACATTCAAGTTTGAAGAAAGCATACATCTGTAGCACACTGTGCTCGGATACCAAACTTCATCCTTAGGTTTTGCGACACCCCATTCTCCACTGTGACTCTTTTGTCATATCTTAAAGTCTCAGCTCTGAAATGCTGAAACAGGAAACCGAGCTGTCTCCTCTGCTGAGCAGGTTTCTGAGACAGAATGTCAGCTGCTCGACCCTCGTGTGTTTTCTTCCCTATAAATAAGATCCTGTGAAGAGTCAGGACTAACCCGGTTAGTGGGTTATGATCAGCATCAGCTTAATCTGCAGTTTCTTCTCAGTTTTTAGCACTTCAGTTTTTTCTGGACTGGCATGGCTTTCCCTGTTCATCTAACGGACTCCTGAGTGGTTTGATATAAAAGTAGGCTTCATCTGCTTTTTTTAATTGGTTGAGTCGATTAAAAAGCAACATGTTAACTTATTTTAGGAGATGCAAAACCTAGAGAAAAATAAAGTTTAGATCAGCTTAGATATGGACAGCTTTCCCGATATGGACAATTGTGGGTGCTGTTTTCCCTGAATAACCAGAATATTAACTCATTATGAGAATATATGTGTTGTCGCCTTGCAATATTTAGATAAAGCTGAATGGAAAACAAAATGCATATTTAAAATATTAGCCATCTGTTGAGCTCAAAATAAAGCATTTTTCCCTAGACAGCATTATTCCTTTCTTGCAAAATCTTGACTATCTTTTGGGATAAAAGGGTAACTTTGATGTTACCCTGAGACAACCAAATAAAAATATTGTCGGACGAAAAGCCTGGCTTCTATGAAAATATTACCGGCTGTACAGAGAGGACGCATCAATTGAATTTTAGAAATCATACATGCACTGTGCACATAGGTTATAAAACACATCTTACATGGAACAACCCAAATCTGTATTATAGATGCAGAAGATGATTGTATCACATATGCCAACATTTTCCAAACATACATCTTTTTTCTTTGTCTCATTGCAATATTTTTAAGAAAAAAACAAACAAACCTGTAATCTTAGTAATTCAATGATTTTTGTCTGAAATGTCAAACAACCAAGATGGCTTCTACCTCATCGGTATCTTTAGGCCAATATAAAAATGTAAAACATTAGCTTATAATTAGATGTGCCGGTCGATCGGCCACCAATCATAATCGGCCGATTTCCGTGAAAAAGTGAAATCGGTTGTCGCCGATCACTGTCTCTTGTTGTCCATCACCAAAATCGATCATATTTAATTCACTTCGCAGCCTGCGTGTGCAGCTCATCTCCTCTTTCCTTCACACTGCGCAAGCGCGCTGCAACAAATACTGTCGTGTGGAACTATAACGCTCTGAGCGTGAATGGGGACGTTTAGGTTTTGCGGCGGAAAATTACCTCGGGGGGAGAAGCACTACAAAATGCATCAACACATCAAGACAAGCACTTGACGGAGTTTGGTTAAATCGAGGCTCAATGCAGGAAAAAAAAAAAGGACATCAGGAGCGGCCAGGTAGTAGGTAAAGCAGCGCACAACTGCCAACACTCACCCGGTTTAGCATCCCGGTCAGAAAGCTGAACCGATAATCCGAAAAATAATTCAAGTAATACTCTGGTTCTGCTCTCGCTCTTGGACCGCCGCTACGCGCTACTAATAGCAATATTTCACAGACGTAGCGCCGCTCAACCTCCACCAAACAGTGAACTCTGACACCGAACAGCTGCATATAGCTGCAGCATGTAGCTTAACAAAAAAAAAAGAAAAAAAGATTTTAGATGTGAATTAAAATATGTCTATTATGTGTAAAATTAATTTTTCAGTTTTGCCAGATAACATAATGCGAAAAATGAACAGCCGACGGGAGTGATCGGTGATCGGCAGAGATCGGCCTCATGGATGATCGGTATTATCGGGAGCAAAAAAAAACCTGATTGGAGCATCCGTACTATGATTTGCATGAGTTTGGTTTTACAAAAATAAAAAGAAATTGTAATATATCAGAAAATTAGAATACATTTATCTTAAAATTCTCTTACCTTAATCATCTCTAGCACTTATACTGGAACACGTAAAGCAGCATTTATACCGTTCGGCTTCAGAATGCAGTTGTGTTTTTCCTGCAAATCCTATTATTCAGTTGGATTCAGCAGAAAGCTTTCTCTGCAGTCTGGTCATCAGATAAAGGCAGTATGCCTGGCTGAGTCATAATCATTCTGTGCCACGAGAATAATGAGACTAATTTACCCAGCAGATGACCGATAACTCCAAACAACCTCTGGAGGAGGAAGAATGCGGCTCCTTCAGAGGCACGAGTGATGACATCAAATCAACATTTTTCACTGGATGAGTAAAGCACCATAGTCCCTTTTTATGCTTGTTGGAGCAGGTTTAAAAGCTTTTCCCCTGCTCCTCTGCTCTACTTCTTTATGCAAAATGTGGTTGGTGGTTTTTAAATGAGTGCTGACTTCAACTTGACATGGAAACAGAGGTTTAACAGTAGTAATCTGTTTGGTCATGAAATAAATGCCTGATGGGTTCAAAACAAGTTAAAAGCTCGTAAAGATTAATGTAATTTGTTGAGGAGTGAGAAAATTTGGAGCTCCATACCACAGCAACACTTTACAGTAGGCGCACCATTCAGTTGAAAGAAGTCATGAAACATTGGGGATTACCTGACTAAGTTGGTATTTTTGATAGACTCTTTTGTTTTTTAAATAGTTGCAGTTTCAATTTTGTTCATATTGTATTCAATTGTGTGTATTTCAGTTCTGAACAATTCTTGCAAAGCTGGAACTGAAGAGGTCTCTTTAGTTTGAATTTCTTATATGACTGCATATAGGTATTTTCAGAGAAATGCAGGTGTAACTATTTTTGTGGGGGTTTTTTATCGTTGTTCTCAATGAGAAATGCAGAATTGCACCTTTTGTGTCACTGTCACAATCAGTTGGAGGAGTTGAGCTGGAGTTCAATTTGATGTCTTGTTCTCAAGTTATAGTAGGATGGTGTTAAGACATGGGACTGGACACTGTCGTAGTGAAGAAAGAGCTGAACCAAATCTTTCTTTCACTAACCTAGAAACAGGTGTAGTGACTATTTATACATATCCCTTCTGGTCTGGGAACACCTCTGGCTTTCCCAACTGAAGCTGAATAAGTCTCACTAACTGTGCTATGCAATATCTGGATTTCCCTCCTGGACCTGCTGCCTCCTGCAATCTTTGATATTGGACGATGGATTTAAATCTTGCTCTTAGAGATTCTGAAAGACTTTCCGAGATTGGGAAGATTGTGGGAAGAAATTGCTCGTGTGTTAAATGAAAAGAGATGAAATAAGACTTTCAACTATTTGAGTTGTCTGACTTGTTTCAGTAAGAGGCCATGCAGAAATCTTTATAAATAGAAGCCTTAGGGAGATTTCTTCAGGATAAATGTTGAAAAATATTAATTAAATGAAATGTTGATGATGCTTTGCTGATCTTCCATTGGTCTTTTTTTCTCCTAACAGTGATGAAACCGTGGATCCACTCATACCTCCACTTCACATCTAAAAACATGGAGGAAATTCCACTTTCCCTGAGAATCAGAGAAGAATATTGGATCAGACCTTACACCAGAAATAATGCTCTGAAGATTAAAAAAGCATAAAAATCAGAAAAGGATTCTTCTGCATGATCACTGCCTTGCAGCGTCTGGACAATTTCTTACTCTTAAGACTGTTAACGCCAACGACTGTTATCCTTCTATCCCCTTGTTCCCTTTAAAAGCATATTTTTTATAAGAAATATCTATATGAATATATCTCAATACATATTGTGGATAAAAGTGGATTCCAGAAATTCAGCTAGAAGATTTCCATCCCTTTGACTCCCTGTTGGACATTTTCTTGGATTAACTCTTTGCAGCTATGGATCTTGTAGGCTTTTCTATCAGACTGCAGTTATTCCTCAGCTCCTGTTTGGGATTGGAATTTTTAGGTACTCCAGGCCAGTGGGCACGCTACCTCCGCTGGGACGCCAGCACCCGCGGTGACCTCAGCTTTCAGTTCAAGACAGAGGCCTCAGAGTCACTGCTGCTGTACTTTGATGATGGAGGATACTGTGACTTTCTGCAGCTGGGGGTGGTGGAGGGTCGACTGCAGCTGCGCTTCAGCATTGACTGCGCTGAGACCACGGTTGTTTCCGACAGGCGGGTGGACGACGGCAGCTGGCACGCCGCCACGCTGAGCAGGTATAACCTGCGCACGGTACTGGTGCTGGACGGCCAGGCCAAAGCCGACGAGGTGAAACCTCAGCGTCAGTTCATGAAAATAGTCAGCGACCTGTTCCTGGGTGGAGTACCTCAGGATATCCGCAACGGTGCACTTACACTGCCGACGGTGCGAACCATGCAACCCTTCAGGGGAACAATTACAGACCTCAAGTTTGGCAGCTCACAGCCCCTGTTCCTGGGAAGCCTTAAGGTGCCCCTGGAGTCAGAGGGTTGGTGCACTGTCAACCCTTGTGAGAACGGTGGAACGTGCATGGTGATAGACGGAGAACCGGTCTGCGACTGCTCCCAGACGAAATACAAGGGCCGCTTCTGCAATGAAGGTAAGAGAAGACTGCAGTTTTCTCTCTCTTTTTTTGCTGTATCATCTCATAGCTCCAATGGTGAAACACTCCCCTTCGATTCATTTTTGCTAATTAATTAATCAGACCTTAAAACTGCTTTTAGTAAACATAATAAGCTATAAATAATTAGAAAACCTTTGTTTTTTTTTTGTTAATAAAACATCTAACTTTTATTGTAAGTTATTGATTTTACCCTCAGGTTTGTCAATGTTTCTTGGAATACTATAACAGAGGGCTTTTTTCTCAAAACCTTTGCACCAGAACTCAATGGATTTAAATGGTGTTGTAAGGATAAACCAATAGAAAACTGGTAAAACAGTAAAATTATGAAAGTGGCATTGGGTCTGCAGTTCTCGTTAGTAATGAATTTCCACTGTTCTGGTGAGTGGGGACACCCCAAGGTGAAAAATTAAGATAAAAAATGACAATATGTTGCTTTCTGTTCTGAAGAACCAAAGAGACCTATTTTAATTATAGCTTTATATAAAATTTCCTCCTTCAAGTGTGTAGGCTTGTTGGCACACAAGTCTTTAAAGTTTCAATTTTTTTCAATCACTAGGGTTTTTTTTTCTCTGTGTAGCCTGTTTCTGCTCTTCCTCCCAGTATCATTGTATCAGCTGTGCTGTAAAATCAGAAAGCTAATCAAAGCACAGTTAGCCAGGGAGGCCCAGGTTAATGGCATCGGTCCTGCAGGCAGTGATAAGGGCGCCTCTGGAGAGAATGAAACCTCCTGAGCCGTTTTTCTTCACCCAATCACGAGATGGCAGGTGTTTTTATATCACATCCCTTTGTGCAGAGATTTCTGCGTGTTTCACTTGCTCTGCACTGCAGCTGGCAAGCTAAAATTGATTTCTATTAAAAGCAAAGCCTTTTACTCATTTCCCCTCCCCGCTGGCCAAATACCAGAGACTTTCATCTGCCTTACTTTGAAACTTCCTGTCGCTGGATGAGTCGGGTGCTGAGAATATTCAGCAAAATTGCAATCAGGCACCACATTAAACAGATTCAGGCACCTTTTCTTAATCCGCAGTAAAAATAAAACTCTATCCATGGACTTAATTATTCACAATCAATACACATTCTTTAAGTTTCCAAATCAGTGGCTTCCAGCTGCTGAGGAGACGCAATAATCTAAAGCCTTATAAGATAATCAATAGTACTTAGATGGGAAAGTTTTTCCATAATTAGTTCAGATCAGATGTGATTTGTTTGAATTCCTTGTTTCTCATTGAGAAGTCGTTCTCCTAATAAGAAATTTAAACTCATTTGAGTGGTTTCCAAATCCTCAGCATCTAGACATATTGCTAGCAAATCTGGAATTCAAAAATTATAATATTTTTTTAATCCGTCTTATTTAGGTTTTTCCTGTTACATTTGTCAGCTGATTAAATGTGTAGCAATTTACTGACCCTGTGGAGAAAAGTGTTTGTCAGATATTCTTAATTTGATGTATTTTAATGTGTGTAACATAAGGAGAGGCATATTTTTACATTGATCAATACTAAGTTGACAGAAACCTCAAGCAAAAGAAATCACACCCATTTTTTGATTCTAGTGTATCAAAATCTCAGAAAAAAAAATATCTTGCCTCCCTAGCTTTAAAATTGATTTCAACTGAGCCACATGCCCACAAAAACACACATACTCACATGTGTGAGGCAAAAATGTAAATATTTGTGAGAAATTAAAATGCACCCTTTGCTCCATCTTACTTCTCATCTGATGGCTTTGTGAAGGTCTCATCACAACATTTCCATCATGTTTAGATCTGTACTTTGTCAAGGCCATGGCAACATTGTGATATCTATTCCAGCCAATCTGTTTTGGATGATTGTTTGATGGCTCAATTTGAGCCAAGCTTGACTGGCTGGACAGATCTCACCTGATTTGACTTTGGAATACTTTGGTCTATAGAGGAGTTTGATCTTTGCTCTTTGACTTCCCTTCTCGGCTCCTGTGGTTGCAAACACCCCCAAGTCATGAGCTCTCCATTACTTTTTATGACGGTTGGTATGATGCATTTGTGCTGTTTGGTTTTCTCCATACATGTTGCTGTGCTTTAAGGCCAGACGTATTTGGTATATGTTCAAAGGGCATTATTCCAGAAGCCTTGTGCTTCATTTAGATGCAACGTTGCAAGCTGTGCTGCCACATGCTTTTTAGAGATTATAGGCTTTCTCTTATAAACTGTCAAAAAAAAACCCCATACCCATTCATTACTTAATTGTTCTGTAATGAACTCTAACATTTAACGTGGCAACATCGCCCATGGAGTCTGAGTTTGAGTTCATGGAGTTTATCTGTGCATAGACACCGGGGTGTCGTTACTGTAAGGTCAAATTAGTTACTGGATGCTGTTGGGTTGTTCTGCATTTATAGGAATCTTTAAATTATAGAATTATGAAATTAAACCATCATTAAGGATGGCTGAGTTAACTTACTCTATGCTCCAGAACAGCAAGCTGCCACAATTGATGGTTTCATATATTAATATTGAAAATACAGCATTTTGATTGTCTTGTTTTTCTCAAATATCCTGAAAGATGGACTATTTTTTTTTTCAAATAATTTACATCTTCTTATATTTTCTTATTTTACTTTTAAAAATACACCTTAATAATTGTTTGACAATGTAAATTTTTCTTTGCCTAATGACTGGAAGTCTCAGAACTCCAGAAAACAACAAAAGAACAAGGACACGACAAAACAGCCTGTTTATTATATGAATCTGAACATTTAAAGGCATAACCTTCATAGCCTTGTGTGGAACAGCGTCTGGTTTCACCTGACATTTGATAAGCGTAGTATGACGGCTCATGTTGACAGAGTAAAAGGGCTCCTTGACTCTGAAATGCAGTGGGAGGGCAGTGCATGCAAATGCAAGAAGTGTGATTAAAATCTTCAGGTGCTTCTGGAAAACATGAATATTCAGCTGTTGGTTTCCAGAGCTGACCAAATGTTGTTAATGCAAATTTAATTGAATAAAAAATAAGATTTTGATTTGGTTATTTCCCTTTAGCTACATGGCACTTCCATTTTCACCTAGGATTGTCTTTTACTTTCTTTTTCACTACAGAATAGAGTACTCCGCACATCTTTGGCTGTAGGATCTTCCCTCCTACGTCTATTGCTCCACATCTTTTCTCACAGTAGTTTGTCCCTCTAAACAACTACCTTCTTTCCATGCCTTGGAACATGATGCATGACTCAGCACCGCTTCAGAGTGGCTGCACCATTGACCCTCGTACAATAATGGCCTGCTTTTCCCTACCTTGATTTACAGTCTCCATGTTGGAACCTGTTCCTGCTCCAGATTTATGTCTGGCTCTCCCTCGTTCCGTCGTCTGACTGCCTGGCTGCCTCCTGCGAGGTGGTGATAGGTGACAGGAAGCAGGGAACCTAAGCAGCCCTGAGAGAATTTAGATTAGTTATTGTTAAGGGATAAATAACAGCTTTAATGAGGCTGACTGAGATAGATTGGTGGGGTGCCTGTTGTAGGGGTAATGTGGGATAACTGATTGTCAGGAAAACACAGTTTTACAAATGTTAAAAATACATATTCCTACTTGAGACATGAGAAGTGCCCAGAGACTGAAGATCATGTGGACGCACGGTTAGGAATGAGGGATTTTTTTTCAGGTAGTTTCCAGTAAAAGTTTCTTATAGCATGTGGCAAAGCAGCAAATCAGTCTCTGAAATGTTGAAGACATCAGTCCTGCTACCTACCATTTCAGAGAGCTGGCTGAGTGTTCAGGCCTCAGTTCAACTTTTTTGCAAAGAAGTAACAAATCTGGGAATGTTGTCTACCACCCTTTCTCTATTTGGATACCTCAGGATGTTTGGAGGTATCCCAGATAACAATTTTGATTGAGACATCCAAATTGGTACTTTTAAAGTAGGGGAAATGGTCACAGTGCTGTGTTGGTGACAACCTGTGATATAGTAGGCAGTGTGGAAGTGCTTTTTTATAACTAGTCATGCTGCTGTTACTGACTTACTTCAGGAAGGCTTCATTTACTTAGGCACTTCACAGAGCATTAGTCAAGAGATTTAAAGGTTCCAGCAACTTAAATGAAAAATTTCTATTTTGTTACCGCCTTTCCTTTTCGACTGCATTCCAGCTTGTAGTTTGTGATGGTTTTACTCATTTCCATGCCCAAGCAAGTACAAAGCAGCTGAGAACACCACAAAAGTGTGATGACCTTGCAGCTGGCATCCATTCATAACACAAATTCCACTCAGGGCAACGATAGAAGATGGCAAAGACTCCCACTCGAATTAGCCTATAAAGTGGGGATTTATAGTGGGTATTTCATTTACTGAAAAAGGAGGAAGTGAATATAGATGAGTGGAGTAGTTGGAGATGTAACAAACTGATACACTATGCAAAAATGCTAACATTCTGGCCGCTCTCATTTCGACGAAATGTAGATGTAATGTTTTACCCTTTTCTGACCAGCATTGCTACTCTGATGCCCACAAGCATCAACCCTCCCATTGCTCATCGCATCTTTCACCAGAATAGAATATTACAGAAAGATGCATTCATTGTGCAGGTCTCACTTTTCTCCATGTAATCAGTCTCTGCTCACAACTTTTTTAGACCAAAATAGTCATTGCAATTTATTACTACTCATAAAGAGGATGGAAGATGAGACAAAATATTCTCGAGATAATCCCTCCTTGGTATGCCAGTATAGTAGCAGTCTATTCACACTTTTAAGATTTTATTTTTTACAAAATGTTTTATGCCCTTCATTGAATATTTATGTCTTTTTTTTATCCCTGTGTTTGTACACACATATACAGAAAGTAGTCGGTAGGCCCATTAAAAAACTAAGAATTTAAAGAATGGACTACTCTTTGAGTAAACTGTCATTGTTTAAGGTCTCCATATAAACTTGTTATGAAATTTTTGAAAAGTGGAAAACTTGCAGCAGTTTCAATAATGAAGATATGCAGAGATGTTTCCTGTCCATCTTTGTAGCTGTTGAAAAGTATATATATCCAAATTTACGAGTGTTAGATTATTCTGCCATTTTCTATACCGGTCCTCCAATGAATGATTGTTTAAAAATCAAAATAGGTCTGACATAGATACAAGGACAACTGCATAAGTTATTGAGTCTGATCTATCTGAAAATAGCAAGAAAGCTATGCTGAATTTAAAAAAAATCAGTAAACGTTTTACAAACTAAAGTGAACATATTAAGACAAGTTAAGAGTTTTCTGCCAAAATAAACAAGACAGAGGCTATGCATAGTATTTATTTGAACAAAACTGTGATAAAAAATATGAATTAATCATAAAAGTTCATTATTATCACTTTTGAGCAATACCAGAACCTGCATCATTAAGCCCACACCGTATGACACAATACTTTTAAGATCAAATCTGATGATTGGGGTTGATTTGAGTAGAAGACTATACCTCTTTTAGTTCAGATACTTTTACCTTGCTAATGGATGGTCTTACGTTAAAAATATATATTTCTCGTGTACTGTGTGGCGTAGGTAGTAAAATGTTGAGTTTAGGGAAATCAAAGTCATAGAAAAGGAATACTGTACACAGGCCAGAGTTGGCAGGGTTAGCAGAAAGCGCTGCAGGATGATGAGAAGCAGTAGACCACAACAAATGAAGCCCTGTTGTCACACCAGACCGATCATGGATGACCTGGGCAGATTTAGAAGACTGGAGGTCTGTCTGATGTGATGATGGGAGTACTGACTCATTTTTATACAACAGATGATGTAAGTCAGCACAAACATGGTGGGCAGTGTAAGTCATGTCACTTCAAAAGACCTCTGCATCGAGGTGGAGCATGAGTGTTTATAAGAATATTACTGTTTGAAATAACTATGTAAAGTTTAGGTAAGAAATATTTAACTAGTGTGATGGTAACAAGGAAATGGCCCATCAGATTAATCTGCTTTAAAGGTCTAATTTTAAGCAGAATTTTGTCACTACTAAATTTCTACTTTAGACTGTAGGTTGAAAGATTGAGACTAAAATATAAAGTTGAAAGATATTTAGTTTCTATAACTACAATTGGTCTTAATTGTGCGTTTACCTTAGTAATTCCTCTCTGTGTTTCATATATGTTTTTCCAGGCATGAGCTGCTGTTCAAATTTCAATTTCGACAAATTCTCCTCAATAACATTTTTAAAATGGTAAATGACCTGGAGCCGTTTAGCGCTTTCTCATATTCAGAGGGCCCCAAAGCTCTTCTAGCTATATTCAGTCATTCACCCATTTGTGAACACATTCACATGCTAATGGTGGCAAGCTACTGGACTGTTGACGTAGTTGCCCAGGGACAGTCCGACCGAGGTGAGGCTGCCATGGACCGGGACCACGGGGCCCTCTGACCACCACCAGCAGACAAAGCGCATGAAGTGTCTTGCGGGCAGAAATGGATGGAGTGGGGATTGAACCAGAAACCCACTGATTGGCATTGACACATCCCATGTGTGCTAGTCTGGCACATTAGCTAAAGCAGGGGTGGTTAATGTGCGGCTCTAAATTTGCATGCAACTTCTCTGTTTCTCCTGTGTGGCTCATGGTGACTTGACTGGTCTCTTAAGGTTTAACAGTAGTTTGTGGAGAATTTTATTTTGAAAAATAATCAACTTCTCTCCAGCAAAGACGCTTTGCACACGTCTGCAGTTCAATTATATATTTTGCAGTTACTCCAACTGAACAACAACAACTGAACAAAGTGTAGCTAAACAGAATATTCTGTCACCTCATGACACAAGCCAGACAATATAAGATATCAATACGACTGCCATTATCTTTTCCTGTTTTTAGCAGCCGTTAGCGATTACCTTTGTAGTTTATGCTCGGAGTAGCTATTTGTTTTGGTGGGTTGTTGTAGGCGACCAGGAAAACCTGGAGAGTTTGCGGTTTGTTGAATTAATTGTTTTGCAAAACAACATGAGCTACATTAGGTGAAGTAGTGTAAATGTGGGGGGGTCCAAACAAATATTTTCCAAATTTGACAGGGAGACGTTCCTTTTATATTTAATTATTACAAAAGCCACACATGGTTTGAAGCTGTGCCATACTCTTTTCAAGTGATGGATTGAACAGAGTTGTCTGATATAGTCAAAACTGGCATTATTGTTTCATCATACAAAGATGCTTCAAACTTACTTCTCCAGAACTTTCTCCATGAACCGTCTGGTCTCTTCCTTGGTATTCACAACGCTGTTGGGTCACTGATTGTCTTTAACAAACCCCCTGATAAAGAGTGGTGTTCACAGTATGTCTTCTTTAAATCAGCGTTAATCGACCGTACGCCACTCTGATCAGCAATGTTTCTGTGGCCAGTTAAACACAATAACTGCTATCAGATTGCTGAGTTGTTTAAGCTGAAGGTGAAACACTTACAGTGTTCACCGTCTCAACTGTCCTCTGAAACTGTCCAGTTTCACACCCATTGACACCAGATGGCTTCAGCAGGCCTTCCTTGCTGTTCCTCCAGCTGTCCATATGTTCATATCAACATGAAACATGGCTGCTGGTGAAATCAGAGATCCTGAAGCCTTGGGACGGTGATGAGCATTCACAGTAATTGGTATATTTATCTGCAGATGTCATTGTTAATAATCCGACAGTGGTGAAATACCTCTTGAATAATTACGCTTTCCCAGTTTCTGAATTCCATCATGAATCATCCTTTAGGTAATCCACTCTGAGCTCTAATCCCCAGATATCCTCACCTCACCTTTTGGGTGTAGAGGTAAAAGAGAATCAAGCACATTCACTTGGATTATATGTCCACTGATGAATAAATAAGTTTGTCTAAGACACGGTGAGATGATCTGCGTGAAATTAATCAGGAGGCATTTCTCAGTGTGCAGCTGGAGGCACGAGTTAGAAATACCTGCGATTATTTGACTGCTCTCCGGGCTTTTACCTTCATTAAATATTTATGGCTTCACTAGCTTTATCTCACTTGCTGTCTCACCAAAATCTGATGCTACAAAGCGGCACAATGCAAGGGGGAGGAAATTGTCGGAGGAAGTAGGTCAAGATGGAGAAGAAAATGACAGAGCAGCAAAGAGAGGGGACTGAATCCAGCTGTTCATCACAGAGACACAATCCGGCCGAGTGCTGGGTCGTAGCGAAAGACCCTGTTATAGAGAAAACGGCAAGATTTGCATTTCATAAATTTAAATCTCGGATTGCCAGAAAAATCATGAGATAATAAGAGCAAGTGTTAAAAGCTTACATTTTATTTTATATGTACCATTTTCCAAACTTTTAATATCTTGTGCATCCTCTCTAACACACACTCGTGATTTGTGACTGTTTAGTTGACCGCCATTCTGTTGTCTCTCCTTCATTTGGCAGCTTAGAGTAACAGCAGCGAGTTCTTTCATCAATCTCAGCAAGGACCTCAAGCCAGAATGAAGTTTTGTGCAATTTTCTCAGATTGTCCTCTGAACATTTGGGAAGTGTCCACAGGTCCATAATTTTAATTTTGATTTTAAAGATAAGCATCACTCAGTAAAGCTTGATAGTGTGGTCAGTAAATGTTGTCTTGATGTAAATCAGGACCTTTTGTTTTTACCTGAAACTCAAAGCATTGCAAGCCTGGAGATCATTCCGTACAAAGACGTAAAATGTGAGATGAGCTGAAATGTTGTCAGGTTTTTCCACTTGAACAAAGAGAAAATGTCCAAAAAGCAATCCCAATATTATTCTGTTTATTATCTTGGCTATTTCTGTAATATTTGTGTGTGGTGTTCAATACATGCAAATCCCAAACAGAGATATGTTTATAAAATTGAAATAAAAATCACAAAATTAGTAGGTTTCCGATCACACATGTCTTTTCTCCAAAGTAACTGGACCTCTTCCATGTTGGAGCTGCTCAGTTGAAACTGAATTAATATCTAATGCATACCAAATCAACCACCATCTGCTTGTGTTCACATATTAACACCATAACATGCCCAATTAGTCCATGCTCCGAACATTTAATGCATCTCAAGTCGATTACTGTTCATTTTATTCTGCAGCCACGTTGCCTCTCAGGAGCTCAATAAAATAGAAACTCCTCTGTAGCCCAAGTAAAACTCAATTTTGTGATGAAAATTGTCCACATAGTGTAATTTAAAGCTATCTTTGGGCTTAAATAACAATAAATCATGTATCCAAAGCTCAATGTTTGATATGAAATGTTTAATGCTGATATCAAATGCTCTTAAGTTGTGGGTTCAAAAACAGAAAATTCAACAGCATCTGAACTGTGCATGGCTTTTTATCAAACTTGTTGCTGGGAACATTTCCTTTATATTGAATGCATAATTTCTTTAGTTGAGTAATCTGGCAGCAGTGGGTCATTTTCTTTTTCTTCTATCCAAATGTCATAAATCAAAAGTTGTTTCTTTCTCTCCTTACTGTTGAGAAGCTGGACTGTGTAGCAGATGCAAATGATTGTGCAAACTGCCAACCATTTGCATTGACTGTAACGTGTTTTAAAAGTTGCATGACATTCATCATGCAAGTGCAAAGTGTGTTTCTAATGCTGGTTTCTTTGCTTCTTCTCTTCGTCTCCTTTCATTGCAGGGGTCAGGAAGACCATACCAGGTGAGTTGAAATGGGACCTGAAACGACCAGTCAGAAAGAATACATTGTGCAGTTGCAAATATTTAAACAAATATATTTGACTTAAGGGTTCACAGCTACATCACAGTCTTAAAAAGGGACATGTGACTGCAGAGGCATTTAGTTTTTATGAGAAGTCAGTTCATTCCTTTGGAATTTAAAAAAAAATCAAGTTTTTAAATGTTTTTATCATTAAAAGGTACATCATCAAACAGCAACTTCTGGCCCAAAATAGACATGCATTTATTTTAAATCCCTTACGTTTTAAAGCTTTTTGTAAAATTATTTTCTAAAATGTTCCAAAGCTTTTCCTTTAAAAAAAAAAAATAAATAATAAGTTGAAGACCAGTCCCAGTTCTGTTGTTCAGTGGTACCACGTTATTACTGTGGAAAAATGCTGCTGCTTCTTTATTCTGCAGTTTTTGAACCCAAAATTATGTTTAGTGTGTGCAGTTGCAATCAGAAGTTTCCATCCCATCACCATGATCTTGAATGCCATGTTAATCTGTGACATTTTATGATTTGAGACATTATTTTCCAGGGTTTAAAACAATATAAAGCTGCAACAAATCTAAAGAAACAAGAACAAAAGACAGAATGGTACTAATGACTCTAGAAGGCTTTGCCACTGTCACTGTAGTTTCAAACTAAGAAATGTACCTTTTACCCTGAAGACAAACAAATACAGGTCTAGATAACAATCTTCATCTATATTTTAGAAACAGCTGTAGCTGTGATGATATTTTAGTTATTTTCTATCTCAAAGACAATAACAATGTTCAAAACTTGTTTTTGCTCCCAAAACTAAAATCCTACAGTTATGTGATGTACCGGTTGCTTTACCAGGTCAGTTCTGGTTCCGCTTTCCCAGTTGAAGTATTCTTTAAAAGTGTGAATTTTTCCCAGGAAGCCTCCTGCTCAGACACAGGAAGCTTTGGAAAGTGATTGTGTTCGGATGTCATGCTTTCCCTTCTGAAAGCATGTTTCGTCCCAATACCGCAGAGTATTGAATCAGAGTGTTTTCTGTCTCTCTTTCATTTCCTTTTCTCTTCCTCTCAAGGCCTCGCACACATGATGGCAGAACAAGGTACACCTTCTTTACTTCTTCTCTACAAAATATTCTTTGTGTTTGATTCTGGTGTGAAGCTGCATGTTTTGGTGAGGTGAGTGCTATCTATGGAAGTGCATGCTTCTGTACGGAGAGACAATAAGTGCAGAAGGTGAGTCACTTGTAGACAAATCTGAGATCTTTCAGGCAGAACATGACTTCATTTGTAAGTCGTAGGCATCCAACGAGTGGGGAAAGTTCTCCCTGCAGCAAGATGCATTTGAAACATCTGTAAAAATGCTCACTTTTTTCACATTAGAAATAAGTGATAGGTTCCAGACTAGGTCACCTTTAATCTAGCTCAGTGCTCCTCATGGTCTGGTCAGCTTTCAATAAACCAATAGATCCGTTTGCTCTACAGCTGTGAATGCTTTGTTGGGCCCCTGGTCTCTTACACTTTGACCAAGCTAAACGGAGAGGTTGAGGTCTGCCTACATGGGTCAAGTTCCAAAGTAGCAAAGAAAGCCTTGGGTGTAGGCTCAGATGGCTGCTGACTAAATGGAAGATCCCAAAAAGTGTTAGTTTCATTATATCAATGAGGGACATTTAGAAACCCCCACTGAACTGCCATTGTAATTCCAGCTTGTAATAATACAAAATAGAACATTTTTTATTGTTTTTTTTTTTTTTTAAGTTGACAAAAGATGGAGGGTAAATGTCATTTAAATGTAATTGCAGAACAGAGTGCCTGCATGTGTTGATTCTGTGCTGTCCAAGTTGAACAGAACGTTATTTTCAAATGCTTTCATTCAAGCTGTAATAGCCTGTTCCAGGATTCCTTATTGCCTGCTGCGTTTGCATGTTTTAAATGTTTGAGATATGCTCTGTTCACTGATTAACCCTCATGAACTTACACTCCATCCTCTTCTTCCTCCCTGCCTGGCCCGTCTCGGCTGTGGACTCTCTGTTCCTCCTCCTGCTGTTGCTGCTGCTGCTGCTCTTCTAGCTAAAAGCAAAGGTACAGGCTTTTCAAAATCTTTCCTTTTCCACCAGTATGAAAAGCGGCGATTGCTCTGTGAGTGTTTGAGTGGAACGTGTTAGATGTTTTAATGTGTTTACTTGTCTGTGTTCTGTAATGCTTTCTCACTGAGGGTGCTTGTATTAAGTGAGTAATTAAGCCAGCAGCAAATGAAAGGGGGAGAAAAGAGACTTGCTTTTGTGTGTTCTGTGTGTGTTTGAGTGTGTTTCATGATTTGTTAAAAGGCTTTAAGTGTGTGCAGGAAGGCCGCACAGCAGATCAGTTTTCAGAAAAAAACCCTCTCCAGCTTTGCTTTCTGCAAACCAAAGTGTCCACTCAGCAGCTGTGTTCTGCAGGATTTGTGAGATGCTCACGGTTTATTTCTGTCAGAAACTTGTCTGAGAATATCCTGCTTACTTGAGGCATTTCTATGACTGGACATGCATTTCTATGTTTTTATGACATCATGTAAACAGCAGTGATAAAAACTACAAAAGAGAGAAGTTAGTAGTTAATTAGTAATTTCCCAAGAAATATTTGGAGGGTTTAGGCTGGATGTTGATTCCCATCATAGTATGCTTTTAAGGCGTGGAGGCTTAGAAATGGAATTGCTCCCCATCTCAATCCGCAGATAAACCTGTTTTTATCCACATCTCACTTCAGTAAATACATAGTGGTCTGCAGTGATGCTTTTGTGTGATTACTTGGATTCAGGAAATATCACTAAAAACATTGGAATTGTTAAAATACATACAAACTGTTATATTCTAAAGGAGGTTAGATACAATCTTTTATAATGCACAGGAGGGCGAGTAGGAAGAAGCTGGCAGAAATGCTTCACGGTAAAGATTAGTTGGTTTTAACTTTAGAGTTAAACCCTTTGAACCGAGGATGTTAAAGACTTCCATAACTATTAAGAGAAAATCTTTGTTTGGGTTAATCAGGTAAAAATGAAGCTAGCTCTGTAGAAATGGCAAGCTATCCAAGTCTGCAACTATTTTATTTTATTTTTTTGTAAATCCTAATTGATGTCCAGACATTCTTTGAAAATTTATAAAAAAAAAAAAAAAAAAAAAAAAAAAGCTCAATTTGTGAAAACATCTGAATGTCTGATGATGAAAACTGGAATTTTAAGATAGAACTGAATCCAAATTGGATAATGGCTTAAAAAATTGTTGTTAGATGATTGGCTTGTCATTATGTGTCCATGCCTTATCTAGTGATATTAAAGATGCAATCCTTTGTCTTTTTTACATGAAAATCATTGTACTGGATAACGTGGAAAATGCAGACTTTGTTTCAGAAAGGACAAAGGCTGGTGGCTTGTGTTTGTAACACATTTAGACCTCTTTCCTGTTGGCGTGATTAGTTGTGCACCCAAAATGGCTTCCCCCGTACTTAAGCCCGGTGCTCTCTTCTGACGATTTCTGCTCCCAGAGATTTCCACTCCCCTCCCTCACCTCGGCTCTTATATGTCTTTGTTGCTGTGTCTAATCCCTCAGCGAGATGGCTGCCATTATTAGGTATTGCACACATGCAGGATCCGTGTTGTCGCCTGTTCGGCACACGGGAGGCTCCATTGTTTGCATGCCATCGTACTAGTGGCAGAGGAAAAATGAGATAAGAAACAGTCTCTGCTTCAGAAGGGTCATAATTTACTGTTATGAGCTCAAACTAAGTTCTCTATATTAACTTTTAGATTTCTCTTTGATTCTTTTTTTTGTTTTTTGAAATGTTCATTTCCCCTTATCTGGCAGTGTCTCTCATCCCCTGCTGCATCTTCTCTATTTTCCCTCCTCATTTCCGCCTTAACTAGCTCATCCTTTCTTTGCCTCTCTTTCACCTGCAGCAGTTTCTTTAATCAGTTACAGTTTTGTCTCTTCTCAGTTTGATTAGCTCCGTTCTCAGTTGAGTCTCGCCGTCTTATCGCCTCCCTCTGGTTTAAGCACACCATCTGCATGAGTGTTCACAGGAATCAAGCAGAAACACAGTGATGTGCAGATGATTTAGTAGCTAGATCTTTGCAATTTTTCTTGAAATGTGTACAGCATGTTCATCATCAAACTAGGGACAGCTTGAAAAAGCATCATAACCATAGTAAAATTGTGAATTCAGTGCTTTACATCACCTCTAAAATAAAATAAAAAGATTTATCTTCCAACTAAAAGAGTCCAAGGTGATTTGCTTTGTTGCAGTTAGTGTTGATCTAGAGATTAATAATGCATTTCTGTCATTTGATGGCTGAGAATACTCAAATACTAACAAACAAACTTAATAGGTTTTCAGAAATTGATCCTGGAGGGGCACCGTGACACTCACCATGAAAATGCGTGAATAAGGCTCAACTAAATCTGGTCCTTTGCCTGAAGAAGGATCTGAGAAACATGGAATGATGACAAACTATTAAAGTAAAAAAGATCATGTGTTTAAAACAGCGATTAAGACAGTTATCTCCCAGTAGCAGAATTCAGTGAACCCGTTTATTAAGGAGATCATGACTGGGTGGCTTACTGGGGTTCAAGAACACTTGGACAGTTGGGATCTATTCGCTTGACTGAGTGTTGATAAATGAGCCAGACTGGGATCACCCAGCACCGATGTTGAAGAGGGGGAAGGTGGACAGGTTTACTGGACAAAACCGAGGCGGCATACTAAAATCTGCAACTGGACAGTGGTTTAAGATCTGACCTCTGAATGGTTGGGATAATTTCCAAATATAAAGTAAATTTTTCTATAAATTCTAACTCCTTTATTTTGTCACCAAGTATTCTGCTGTTTGTGCCAAATAACAGTGGATGTCTGTATGGAAGAAGCCATATTTATGGAAATGTTTGAATAAAATATGGAAGACCTCTAGAAACTGAAAGACAGTCACACATGGTCATGTGACTTTGACCCGTCTTGGCGAGCTGCTCCGTGGCACCACACTGCGCAGAGTGTTTGCTGGCACAGCCGGTTTGCCAAGAAACAGCAGTGAGAACAAAAACAACAGACTCAGACAAAATGGAGAACACTATGCTATGACAACAGAATAGAAAAAAAAAAACACTCAATAGTACTACAACTACTACCTTGAAAACCGACATATTGAGTCTTGAAGCCGCTCAATTTCCCGTGACACAAAAATTAAATAAAGTATGGCAAAATTGTGTTTTGATCTGATCAGCAATAAGTAGAAATGTTAAATACCATTGATCATTGGGGAAACATTAAGATCCTAGGTTAGATTTTTATAGATTATATGGAAAATATTTTTAGGAAGAAAATGGTGATGTACTGTATGTCTTGCAATGCCTACATCATTGTTTTAGTTACTTTAGAGAGTGTTCTCACACAATTTTATAAAAAAAAAAAATCTCTATGTTGATGGTTCTGTAGGGTCTTTGTTGATGTTTTTATTATATCAGTGGTTGTTTACTGGGGTTTTAAGTGGAATATGGTGACAGCGTATAGTCAGAGTGGGGCTGGTGTGCACCGACGTTTAAATAACATGTAGAAGAATCCAGCTGCAGTTCTCAGGCCCCACCACTCCCAATTCTTTCTTTGGATCGTTCTCTTATATTCTAACCCTAAACCTGCTAACCTCAACACCTACCCACTGAAACGTCTTAAAAATTAGGCTGATCTTTCAATGAAATAAAATCTTCTCAATTCTGTGTAATAAAAGTCATCTAATTAATGTATCAACATTTGCCCTCATATTTGTAGCATGTGTGGGTGTTGTGTCTACATGTGTGCAAAGTGAGCAGGTATGAGTGTGCAGCAAAAGATCATCAAGTAGTATGCTAATCAGCTAATCAGGCTTGATTGCACCTTAGAGGGGTGTGTTCGTGGTAACCTTGAGGAGGCTGACAATCGGGAGATGATGAGTGCTGGGAATTGTCTCAAACACACTCAGACGTCAACATGGCAGGACTGACAACTCAATAGTATCAGTGCATAATGTCAAATTATGCTTTTAGACTTCACCTCGGACAGATTCCACTCTGAATGATTGAACATAGACCACACTTGGATACAGGTGGAGTGCTTTTGATTAATCTGGTAACTGTGGCTCAGTGGTTGCCTTGCAATTGGAAGGTTTGTGATCACATGCAACCTCTTTTTCATTTTTTTTTTGTGCAACACTAATTCAGTCTATACTAACCACTGTCGTCACAATATTTAACTGAAAGTTACTTCAACTGCATTATAAATGATTAAATTGCAGTCGTGCGTCAGCATCTGCGCTGGATGTGGAATTTTCTAATTCTCAAAATAGATGATTTTATTTATTTTTTATTTTTTTTTGAGAAATAGAGATAGCCTTGTGAGAAGTGCTTTAGTCGTTCCTGCCCTAACCAATGTGTCTCCCCATGTTACAAATGCTCCTGACTCCTCGTGAGATTAACAACAGCATAAGCACATTCTGTTGTAAAGTGTTGAAATGCCTCTCGGACTTCATGCAGCAGCCGATCGATGCAGCAATCCTCCAGCCGTTTGGAAGTCACAACCTGCTACACTCTGAACATTTTTTTATTTGAGTTCTGTTTTGGTATGTGGCGATTACACCCAGTTTGAGCTGCATATGATTGCAGAGTTGCCCAGGTGGACCTGGGTGAGTGACGGAACAAAATGTGAGCTCTCCACAGGCCCATTTTTATTCGCAATGAATCAGTTAAAGACTGATTCATTGCCCCAGAATAATGTCATTGCTGTTTTTTGGGGATAGACGAGAAATGGATTTGTGTATGCTGAAATATTTCAACGTGTCTAAATTTCAAGTGTATATGGCATGTTGTACTCCTTTGCTTGAAACAAAGCCACCATGGTTCCAGACTTGAAAAAAGACCTTTTGGTCACTGTTGCTGTCCACACAAATAGTTTCTGCCACTGAAATAAAAACACAGATCCAGTCCGGCGAAGGCGTGTTCTGTTTCTGCACATTTTGTAAAGTTGTTGTGTATGCCCTTTGTGGTACATCCCAAATAAGAACAGCAGTGGGGTGGCGTCTGGAGGCA